GGCATGCTGCCTTCACCACCATCTTTTAAGAGACCCTCCCATCCGTACCCCATGGGTGAGAAAGGCAGGCTTGTCAGACTCGCTGTACCTGTACCACTTATTCTACTTTTACTGAATTCTGGTTTACACCAAAGTTAACCCTTAAAGTCATATGACCTTGACTAACAAAGGACATCATTTTGGTAAGAAATTTGCGGTAATCATTCTTCTGTTTATATTGTGGTTTAGTATGTCAGTGAGTACAAGTTTCACTATAACATAAAGTGAGCACAGTATTGGAGTCAATTTTAGAATTTGCAGTAATCATTCTTCTGTTTATATTGTGGTTTAGTACGTCAGTGAGTATAGGCTTGACTATAGCATTAAGTGAGTAGAGTATTGGAGTCAATTTTAGAAAACGACGTAACAGCTATTTGAATCTCTCTTGCCACAACCTGTCATTTACAGTCACTTTTCTGACTAATTTTTGTTCCATCTGACTGTTGAAAGCCCTCCATAACTGAAATAAGCAGTTGCTTTTGAGAATTTGACAAAATACTTTCAATATTCACAACTGCAGGCTTTTCCTGCAGATGTGTTTAACAGCCTTTGGTTAGCAATTGCTTGCCCGTGTGTTGGTAGTTAGCACGGCTGGGTCCTGCCGCGGGATGCCCAGCTGGGGACTGCAGGTGAACGACCATCTGTCCGTAGGGATGCACGAGGAACTTGCTGTCCATCCATTTTCAGAGGTGACTTTAAAATACCCAGGTGAAAAAAGACACAAGTGTGACAGAGGCAGTGGGGCCACATAAACTTCATCTTCGGCTGCCAAGGAGTGATGAAGGGCTCCGTTGAACAGGGACTGCGTCCACTTGCAGTGCAGAACTGCCTTTAAGATGCAATTTATATGCCTTGAGGAGTCTTACAAACACTGGGACCTACTTAAATGATCCTCTTAATTCAGCAGGTTTGAGTTCAGTTTAATAATACACTTGATCCAGCGTAACTGTAGGCTCCCTGCAAAAGGGAGCGTCCCACTCTGTCTTTCCTACTCTCTTGTATTAGATATAATAAACATATAACTGCACAACCAGTCGGATGTTGTCAGAGGCAGAGGAAAAATAATCTACTCAAAAGAAAACCCCACTAGTTTTCTGTGGCATCAGTGAGGTAATCTGATTCACTGTGTAGTTTCATGACCTGATGTCATGAATGGAGCATCCCAAAGTAAGAGCTGAGAAAAGGAAAGCAAATTGTGGTTTCACTGACAGCCCTGGTTATATTGGATAAATCTAACCCTTAGGGTCAATTACTGTCATCCTTAATGAACCACAGCGGTGCCAGTAGCCCCACTGTTTAGTTGCCATAGTCACATACCACAGGTGCTTGTGTTTCCTTCAGTCCTGAAGCCACCAGTATGCTGATGCCACCCTACGAGTCTTTTTCTGCTTAGTGGCAAACACTTTTTTATAAAGTAGAGTTAGATAAAACAAAGTCACCTGCTTTGGGAATGGGGCAAATTCTTGGAAGGTACTGGTAATGAGAGATTTTTATTTCTTTTTTATTTTCCCCCATGCAGTTGCTATGGAAACGGGCCCTGAAAGATCGTTTCAAATATGTGCGGAGACCCATTGAAGATGATGAGCAAGTCCTGAGGAACAAATGCAAGTTTGGCCACAGGCGAGGACAGACCAGGAAACCTTCATTTGCTGAAAAGAAACCTGATGACGTCCAGGTGCAGGTAGAGGTAAGATTTTTGGTGCTTAACTTAGTTCTGCATCTTTCAGCTCCTCTGCTGATGGGAAGGCCACCAGCCAGAAAAGGGGAGAACGAAGTGATCTCATCTTATTTAAATTCATTTGGTATAGAGTTTGTCCTATAGCCAGACCTTTGACTTTTTTTCCATTTCTGGAGAACTAAGTATCGACAGTGGAGCTAACCTAATACTGGATGCCTTGCATATTTGTTGTCATTTAGACTTGTTGCCAGTTGGACAGAAAATTCTGTCTGTTTTTTTAAATGCAATATTCCCACTCTTCTTTAGGTTATACACCTCCAATTAGAGTGAAAAACAATCCAGTCTTATGTCTAAGTGCTGAAACCTCTGTACAAATAAGAATGCAAAATGATATTTGAGCTGGTAGCAAATGGCCATATCCTGCTGCCACACTGCACTGTGTTTGTGTGGATGTGTGATATACATCGGGATGCTCATGAATGTATGCATGCAGTTGCTGTATATCCCTTTAGTTAGAGAATTCAGAGAGCTATCACTGTCCAGTAAGTGTTTGAAGCACACTAATTAATTTATACACTTTCACAAATACATTGAGGTTCCAGTTATGGTTTGCCAATGCTCCTCACATTTCCTTGTGCTGCAATTAAAATGTGGTAAGCTGCCACATTGCACTGTGTTATATAAAAGCTGTTTGTGTGGATTAGTGATTTACATCGGGATGCTCAAGAATGTATGCGTGCAGTTGCTGTATATCCCTTTAGTTAGAGAATTCAGAGAGCTATCACTGTCCAGTAAGTGTTTGAAGCATACTAATTAATTTATACACTTTCACAAATACATTGAGGTTCCAGTTATGGTTTGCCAATGCTCCTCACATTTCCTTGTGCTGCAATTAAAATGTGGTAAAATTTAAATGATTGTAAGGATGTGATAAAGAAGATAGGTAAGCAGATATTTGACTTTAGTTTACACGTGTCCATCCTGCTGTTTACCAGACACATGTATTTAGGGGAGCAAGAGTGGTTTACTGGATGCATTTCTGCATACATTGCCCTTGTGTTTGAAGGTAGTTGTAGTTTTCTACCCAAAATGCAAATAATGTTTGTTTTGGTTTGTGGGGTTTTTTTTAGAAGTTTCAGTAATTTCTGTTTGTCTCCTTTTGATTAATGTGTGCAGGAATAAACAATTCCCTCTTTTTACCTGCTTTAGCTGAAAGGTTTGGAGAATGTGTGAAGTAAGAAACCTTTATTTTGGGTGCAAAACAACAAACAGTCTTGCATGCAGTAAAGGAGAAATGATAGGCTTCTGGGTTTGGGCATGCATGAAGAGTTAGCCATCCTTTATCCACTAATGCTTGAAAAGGGCAAATGTGGGTCTTTGTTGGTCACAACAGCTAGTTGTGAAGGGCTTTGCACTGATCCCGTAGGAACTGCATGCTCAACTTCACTCTTCTATAGAGAAGGTGTAAGTGCACTGTGATGTGTGTCTGTAAACTAGGAATCATGGCTCTTTTTAACAGCAGTGCCCAAGGCCATCATGGGTCATCCCTTGTTTGCTTTAGAAATTGAAGAAGAAAGTATGCTCCATCTCTTCTAAAGTCCTAGGCATTTTCTGCTAGCTTTAATGTTATAAGCAAATAAGGGTTAAACTGGAAGAAGGCAAGAGGATGCTCAGTATCCCTAAACAACTTTTCCTATCTTTCTCCCATTTTTCCTGTATCCTGAACAAATATATATAAATAAAATATAAATATAAATGCAAGAATGAACACTTGTGGAGCCTGTTAAGGCTTAAGAACGAGTCCCACAAAATGGAGGGAATCATAACATTCTTAGTTTTGAATGTGTTTCTACGTTGAAAGCAGGCTCTGAGATCTTATTGTATGTCACTACAAACATGCACAGCTGAACAAGATGTTTGTTTAATATTCTTTTAAACAAATGCAGTGTGGGGGTTTTCATCCTGTATATTTAGGAACACACATAAAGGCACCTTTCTGCCAATCCTTGGCACTAACTACTTTGTAATAAATTTAAACAGCTACACAAAGAGTTTTAGCCTCATAAAATAAATATTTGGTCTAGAATCCACAGGCAAACCCAAATGATATTCAAATTATCATTAGCCAGATCCCTTTGCCTTCATCCCTTTTCCAGGTTTGGAAGAACAGATCAGCCTTGTGTGGACTAGAAGCCAACACATCAGGATTATTTAAGGTAAAAGGGTGGGAAATGTATTCCAGGTTAAGGAGACCTTTGGGGAATAATCAGTGGAGGATTCCTAGACCTTCTGTGCCACCACACTCTCCCTTAGATAGGCACAGTAGGACATTTAGGGCATTATCGGTCAAAGCCAACTGGCAAGCAGTGCAGATGAAAGGGCACATCTGTTCCCAACAGATGACCTACTTACCACCCACACAGCTCACTCCCATATTGAGCTTTACTTTCTGAACAGTCGTAAAACGTAACTCCATCAAGTGTGCTTTGTGTCAGTACAATCTTGGATTGTTAATGGTATGAAACTGATAAAAAGATTATTTACTAATAGGAAATGCCTCACTGGTATACCTGGCACTTGGTTTTTATGCAAAAAAAGTAATAAGGCTATTACTACTAATAAAATCCTTAACCACTCTTTCTATTATCGTGTGAAAAGACAGTTGCTTGCCAGGACAAGCTTCCTGGGATGTTTTGGGATGTTCTCAGAGCCACAGATGATGTCTGCCCCTTGGTCTGTCCAAGCCCCGTTACCTGCCAGCAGGCATTCCTCCTCCAAACACAACCCAAGTGATAGCCGGCCTCCCATGCAGGGCATTGCTTCCAGATGCAGCATCTGGCTTTCTCCTCCAGTTTCTTTAAAACATCTGCTGATGTGTTCCTCATTATAGAGCATTCTATTCAAGCAAGGTTGAAAAGTATACTCATTTTAGAGTGGCTAGCATCACAGGAAAGGTCTTGAGCAAGTGCAGGGCTGTAAAATGATTGCAAGTAAGCACATAAACCCATGCTGGAGGTGTCCGTCACTGAATAAGGTTTTCCTTAAAATGATGCTCCCTACAAATATTCATAAGTTTGAGCTGCCATTGGAAAGAAGCTGGAACTGTGCCTGACAGAGACATTAATATAAACCTCCATGTCTGAGGGATATTCAGAACTCGATCAGGAAAGCCTCCTTAATTAACAAATTTTCTGGCTATGGAGTGAGAATCCTCCTCTCATTTTCCACAGTCAGGCAAATATCCTGGAGCCGCACTAATATGGGCGAGACTGCTTTGTAATGATAATGAACTTCATCTACTGCAAATGGAAGGTACTTTCCATGATATGGGTGATCACACCGTGAAAATAAATAAGAAAGGCAGGTCAGTCTCCCCTGTGTAGCCAGGGTGGGATTACTGCTAAGGCAGCCATCCAGTGGCTTGTTCTGACTGATCTCCTCATTCTTTTTTTTTAGCATCAAAATGGCACCATAAACCCCTTCCTCTGTCTTAAGGAATTATTTGGCTTATGGTCCTTCAGGCTATAACAGAAACCACCTCCTGCCTGTTGTAACAGGAGGGGCCCTAGACTTGTGGGAGCCAGAAGGAAGAGGAAGATAGGACACTCTTGGTGTGCACCTTTGGCCAGAGGATTATCAAAAGGCAAAAGGTGATGGAGAGGCAACAGCGGTTAGAGCTGGTGACTGGTTTCCATATGATGAAAGCATGTGGTTCAAACACTAGCTTAGTCATCATGGGGGTGGTGACCAAAGAGCAAATCATCCCTTTCAGAACTTCAGGTTTTGAAATCTTGTCAGTCTTGAACAGTGCCAGACTTGGAAAGTGTGACGTCACAATCCAGTTAGCTGAATACAGACATAAAAATGCCCACAGATATCCTGCATGGCTCCACCTGCCAATCCAGAAGGGCATGGGTCTCCTGTGTCATATTCCGCTACTTCCAGAGGTTTCTGCAATGCCCTTATGACATCTCAAATGCCACTAAATAGCTATGTCTATGCAACTGAATCAAGCTCCTTCAATCGATCCCAGCCGTTGTATGAGAAAACCTGTCAGCAAAGGGACTATCCAAGGATATCTTAAGTTACCTGAATTTTAAGAGAATTTAACAGGCTAGAAGACTGTTAGTAGTTCATCATCTTAAACAGAAGTGGAGAGAGAGTACAGTGCTCTTCTAATGCCTCCAATTTCTTACATCCTATGACAGCCTGTTTGTGAGGTCATCAGGGCTTCTCTGAAGCTGTCACACAAGTAAATTTGGAGTGAGGTGTGAAAAGGAGAAATAGGCTCTGACAAGACGTCGGTTAAGAAAGCGGTAGATGTTTGCAGATAACAGCATATTTGCCACACCCGGCAAAGCTAGGAATAACATAATGAAAACAATTTATAAAGGGGGCACCAGCAGGCCATCTCCTTTCTGTGTCCATGGGACAGAGATAAGAAATGCTTTGGTGAGTACTTAGACTGGGAGAAGTGGAAGGATTCTGCAGAAACGTGAACTCATGAAGTTGGACATCTGCGGATATTATTCTTGTACAGGGAAGATAAGCAGGAAT